GAACTCCAGCGGACTCCAGTGTACAAAACTAGAGAGAACATAAAAACAGCTAAAAAACATTAAATCAAACAGGCAGCCCAGACTAAAATAATTTAATCGTCATAGTCAATATCATAATGATATTATATCAAGTGGAAATGGAATAGGAGAGGTGGCCAACCGTTTTAAAGGTGGAATATCCTGGCTTTTATTTCATAAGATTATATTCAAAATAGCTGCTGGGCATTTCAGAATTCTGCTGAAAAAAAATAACCAAATTTTATGCAACTATGGAACAAAAAGCAATTTAATGGCAAAAATGATTTAAAGGAAATTGTTAGAAAACCATAAAGTTGGAGAAAACCATTTAGGGCTTAAGTTCAGCTGTCTGCTCAGGGCAGATGCCCCTCAAGATTGCTGTCAAGAATCTGAACTTATCCAGTGAATTGGTTCCACTGTTAAATTGCTCTTACTGTTAGGCTGTTTCTTCCTAATATTCAGTCAGAATCCACTTTCTTGTAACTTAAATCCATTATTTATGTCCTGCGTCCTGAAACTATACAGCTGCAGTACAAAATTGCTACTGAGATACTTGTCAAAGCAACAAAAATAAACTTTGGGTCAAAGCTTATTTGGGTCAAAGCAACAAAAATAAGCTTCTTTGGCTGAAGAAGACTCAAGCTGTTGTTTGTTGTGATTGTATTACTCCAGGAGCTTTTTGCTCTGTTATTTCTTTTGTTGTCTTCTCTTCCCGTCTTTTCAAAAGGTAAAAAAAAAAGGATACCTAGAGAAACGGATCCCTTTGCTCTTACTACAAGAAAGCCACTGCAGGTGCAAGCAAGTTAGTTGCAGTGAATGAGAAGTCTTTGGCCTCCTTACTTTTTGCTGGTCTAGGGTGCCTGTGTTTGCAAATATTTCTTTTCTAGGAATACTTAGGAAATCAGACACAGCTCAAATAACACTGCAGTATTATTCTACAATGACAACACTCAGTTCAACCATAGAGTTGGCGGTGACCCTCTAGGCCAACACCCACCTCTGTGCAGGATTCTGTAACGCATCTCTGACAGATGACATCCAGCCTCTGGTTACAGACCTCACCATTTCATGGAGCAGCCTACAGCACTGGCTAACAGCGGATAGCTTCCTCTTGACATCTAGCTGAAGCTTCTTTGTTTGGTTCTGGTCATGCCCTCTGGGTCAATAGAGAAGAACTTCAATCCTTCTTCTATGCATCAGCCGTTTAGTACCCTTTGGACATTACCGTCTTGTCCTTCAGTTCTCTCTTCTGTAGGCTAAACATATCCAGAACCTTTCAGCATTCCCCAAAGGACTTGGTTTCCAGATCCTTCCCCACTTTGATAGCTCTCCTCTGAACTTACTCCTATTTGTCACTGGCCTTTTTGAACTGTGGGATATGATCAGGGCAGAGTGGAGTGGAACAATTATTTTTCATGCTTGAACTCTGTGCTGCTGCTAATGCGCTCCAATATGGCGTTTGCCTTTTCAGTGGATGAATCACACCGCGGGCTCACATTTACCCAGATCTCTCTCACACATGTAACTGCCAAGCCAGATATCCTCCATCCTACACTCATGCCTTTCCTTTTTCCCACCCAAATGCAGAACTTTACATTTCTGTTAAATTCGACACTATTTGTTTCAGCCCACTGCTGAAGCCTCTCTAGAACTTTTTGAAACTGTCCTCTCAAGTTGTTCGCTCTTATGCTAGGTTTTTTTTAATCATCTCTTTTCCCCTTAAATATGGAGGATATCTGATTTTTTTTCCCAGTGGATTTAATTCGATGCTATGTAAGAAAAAACTCACCTTGATCTCTAATTACTTTACAGACCTCTCTACAACTTAGGTCATATATATATACCTGCTTAGATCAGCAGAAAAAGTAATAACCAGAAACACCTTCTCACCATTATTTCCAAGGCACAGCTAGTAAAATTTCAACCAAGGAGCATTTGTAGTTGATAACATTCCAAAATATATCCTCCTTTATTTAGAGCATACTTCGCACAGCATTCTTTATACTAAATGATATCATGGTAAAATTTATTTGCTCCATAAAAACTTGAATGAATAAATCCTGAGAGGTCTGCTAGTAAAAGATCACCTGCATCAAACAGCAGCCAGCCAGCCATTGTACTGATTGTTCCAAATGTATTATTGCTATTAAACTTTTCAAGGTTCATTTTACCGTTGTTGTTTTAAATAATTATTTTCATAACAGATCTACACAGGTTTAGTGTTAAATAATCTAGTCAGTGATCATGGTCCATGTTCTTGCTTCTTCATCAACATTAGTACTCAGCCTTTTTTAGCCAGGCTAGAGCTGAACTGAAAAAAAAAATCAGGTTAGGATTCTGAACATAATTTTGTGTAGCACCCTTCCCCAATGTGATGCTACTAGATAAACTCAAGTTTTACAATTCCCAGCCAGCATGGTCAAGACATCTGAAGGTTGTTGTATAACTTAGTTAAGAATGAAAAGGACCCCAGAATGCTTTTATAACTTCCTAAATCTGTCTTGTTTCATGAAGTGCAGTTACAAGTGGGCTATAGTTTAACATACATTTCTGAATACATTGTTAGGTGCAAGACAAAAAGATGAACAAAACTGCTACTACATGATATGAGTGCACAGATTATAACAGGAAAAAAAGAAAGAAAATTGCAGGGGCAGGGGGAACACAAGGGAGTCACATGATGAAGTTGGATGATAATAGTATGTATTTTGCCTATGAAACTATCTGACATATTATGGTGCCAAACAATCAAGATGTCTATTGGGGTTAGCTTACTTTTCAGAAGACCCAAAACGAGTAAAAATCAAGAAAACTGTAATATACAAACAGCTCCTATTAGCAATTAAGACAGAACAGCAACATTTTGTGCTTGTGCAATACAGTGGAACCTCGAGTTACGAATTTAATCCGTTCTGTGACTCTGGTTGCAACTCGAATTGGTCGCAACACGAGG